GCGTCGTTTTATTTATCCTCTACCCCCCATCATTGGTGTGGTGCTGCGTTGACACGATCCCACGCACGACATATACTCTCCACTGAGAGCTCAAACCTGAAAAAGACAACCGTGATATTGTGAAAAGTATTGTGAACGTGGTCGATGATCGTGTCAGCTGTCACGACTCAACAGTCACGTGTGAGACTGAGAGACGTGGCGTAGGTTACACGTCCGGGAGAGGGACAACACTACCGTACCGTACGTACAAGTACAAGTACATCGTAGCTTTCGCCGGCCTCAATGCTCAAAGCAGGCGTGCCGGCAGAATTGGTTCTTGGGCTTGGCCCAGTAGCTTTGCCTACATAAGTGCGGCATCAGGCCCCAAGTCTCGTAGCTCTGCTGCTGCTGAGACCATCCACTGGCAGCACTGCGACTTCGCTAAGGTGGCACGCCCTCGGCAGGGACGGGCGGCGGCGAGGAGCATTCCATGCAGTCCCTACAGCCCTCCCAGCGGCACCGCAACGCCCAGGAGTGCGTCCTAAAACCGCAGTACCTAATCCCGTGCCCAGTGTTGTGCGAAAAAGAACCACGCGCGCGCAAGCGGTGGAGTCGGGAGAAGCTGGCGGAGATGAAGGGCGGCAGCGGAGAAAGCGACATCAACAACGAGGGAAACGACCATACCGGTCGTCGCATAACGCTCGGGAGACGAGCAAGAGGGCGAATCAAGGAGGGTCGGGACCCTGGGAAGGCGAGGGGTGAGTGAGCCCTCAGGCGGGGGGGTCTACTCGAACGTCTACGCAAGTGAGTGTAGAGGGGTGGTGTGGGGCGTGCAGTGTAGTGTTCATTAGCTCCGAGTAGAGGGGGCGTCCTGCAGTTAAGGGGAAACCCGGTACGCGGGGCTAACCCTCGGAGACCTGTGTTTACTTTATGGCCCTCTTCCTGCGAACGCGCACCCCCCCCTAGGGGTCAGGGCTCTCTAGCCCGTAGCCCGATCCCGATCATCCGGCCCGCTGGGTGCGCTTCTTAGCTCCCCGGCCCTGGATGTGAGGCTAATGACTGCACTCCAAGTGCTCCAAGGCCCGTTGTGAAGTGTTGGGCGCGCCACCCAAGAGCCTAGGTAGGTGCGGATCGGCAAGAGCGCAACGCGTCGATCTTTTTGCCCTCTATCACCTTGGGTTGTAAGAACTTGAAACACACCACGCAGGGGCACAGCAAGCACGGATAGCCGTTGTGCGTTGAGGAGAAAGGGTGCAACGTGTTTATATGCGCAGCCACGGCCGCGCGGCGGTGGGCGCGCCACCTCCCGCGAGCGCGGCGGGACCGGAATTGCGGCCGGAGGGAAGGACGAGCCGCCGCCGCCGCCGCCATACCATCAGCGACGACGACCGCGGCTCGCCCCAAACGCCAGGCGCTGGATCGGCAGTAGGTAGGGCTTGGGCGGCGCAACGTAGGCCTCGAGCCACACGAGTCGCCGACAACCCCCCCTCATCGACGTGATGGCCGCTCTCACTGCCGGCCGATGCAAGCTGCGCCGCCCCCGCACCAGCGACACTGGCCGTGGCTCGCCGCCACGCGCCGGCTCGGAAGAGGGGCTATCGGCGGCGCAGCAGAGCGGCATGCGTCGTCATTCGAGCAGCACCAGCCCCCCTCTTCGGCGGGACGGCCGCTCCCGGAGCCGGCCGGTGAGCGCCCGACCCACGCCCCCTCTCGCACCCCCCCGACCCCCCTGCGCGGCGCCCCCTCCACTGCGCGCCGGCTCGAGCGCCTATTGCCAAATCGCGACTTTCGAGCGCAGTGCACGCGCCCCACACGTCACGCGAGCGCAGGAGAGTTTGCGGCAGAGCAGTACCGTGTACTAGCCGGAGGCATCGCGCCGAAAACCCCGCGCATTCCGCCCCAACAGAGGCTGCAGGAGGCAGATGGCCAATAGCGACGATCGTTACGAAATGTAGCCTTACCGGGAGCTCTCCAAGCTGTCTTGGGTGGTAGCGCTCAGCCGAAACACAACCCCGGACCCAAGACGCACAAGCACAGACAGTCGGGTGAACCTTCTTTTGTAGAGAGTTCTTTTTTGTTGAATTCTTTTGTAGACCGCTAGGATTGAGAGCAGCCTCGCTCTCTCAATCCTAGAAGTCGAAGGATTGTGAGCAGCACTCCTCGCAATCGTAGCATCCCTGTACGATTGCTAGCACCCACCCACGCTCTCGCAATCCTACATCATCAAGGCAGGCGACCAAACCCCGCCGGGCCAATCAATGCACGCACGTTCTACCCGGGTATGGGGTCCCGCCCCCCCCCCCCCCCCCCGGAAGAAGAGATACGGCTTTATGACCATGGGTGCTCGCATATGTGCTCAGGGCACCTCAGGGCTACTTTGGCTCGGCTCCGCGAGCGCTTGTAAATTTTGTAATATAGCACGAGTGACGAGAGACGAGTGTCGAGTGTGTGGGAGTTACGGCTTTAGTACTTTCTTAGCAGTACTTTACCGGAGTCCTGCTCCGGGTGTGCACTACCTGTACCTCACTGGGCCTGAGACCACCGAGCCAGCATCCTGTCACCTCTCCGGGTTGTGACTTGTGTGGAGTCGAATCACTCCAGGACTTGGGGGTTGGGGGAAAG